ACATGGTCAGCGGGCAGGAGAGGCACCAGACGCACCTCGCCGCTAAAGGCTTATCTAGAGACATGCGCCTTTGAGTTCACTTAAACAGGGGCCACGTTTAAGTCCTGGGGCTTGATATTTTTTGTCTGTGGTTATTCTTGAACAGTTTCTTTCAGCTTCAAGTACACTGGTACTTTTTTACTTTTTTTCAAACTCACTTGTAAGACGTGGATCTCTGGTGAAATGAGTTCACAGTTTTTGTTTTTGGCTTCAATGAAATATCCTTGCACCTTTGGCCTTCTTACTTTTGACGAACAATATCTTTTTTATTAAGTTTATACTTTTGGCTACTTCCTTGAAATCTTTTGATGGATCTGAGGTCTCGGCGAGAATACATTACTTTGAAAAATCATTTTGAAAAACAGAAAGCAATTTGTATGAGATCTTAAATATGTTCGTGGTTGCATTTGCAGAGACATCAACAGGCTTTTGAAGGCCGCAGAGTCTTTTTTGAGTTTCAACAAATATTGATTCAATACAAAAATGAAATACAATTGGTTTGGTTCAGTTAAGGTGACGGTACATGCAAAACAAGCCCGAGGGATTTCAAATGGCAAAATCTAACTTTATACTCATGGCATTAACATTTTTTAAACATTATCTCTCTATATAGCCCGAGGATGGCAGATAATAGAAAACATAATAGCATTTGCATCTTTTTTCATATGTTTTCACATTTTGCAAATCTTGACTAAAAGTATATTTTCTGCGTACCATTTAGAGGATTGATGAATTCTGTTTGCCAACTCCCTCCCTAATGGTAAAAAAAAATGCCCAAAGTCTCACATGCACGTGCCAGACAAAGAAAGCTGAAATCCCATGTATTTTTCTTATACAAGGTGTGCCATATATTATTCATTCATAAATGATTGTGAAAAAGCTGTTCAATATTTATAGAGAGAAAGTTACTGCAGCACACATAGGCGTTTCTCGAGGTAGCAGGCTGGTGGTTTGTGGCTCTGTGGTCGTAGCTTGTGATGTCTGCCTATGTAAGCTTTATGCATTGTTAAACCCTAGCTATACTGTAGATAAAAGTCTTTATAAGAATATTATTTTGAGTGAGTTTATTGACAAAGTTCAGTTATATATCTTACACATTTGGCTAGTTATACATACATTTGTTTATAGGTAATTTTAGTTTACTGCTTCAGGAAAGAAAATGAAAAAAATCTATGGTTTACTTCTGTTTTTGTCAGGATGAATATCAGACTTACTGGGCCATTAATATGTACTTCAACCTTATTATTTTTCATGTTTTTTTCTAATATGGCAGGATAGTATTTGTGTAAATATTTATGATTATGAAGTTTTTAAGTAAAAAAAAAGTTGAAAAATATAGAAAGTACTCAATATATTCATTAGGGGTGTCATTAGCACGTTATGTTTTTTAATCACGTTAATTTTATTTTTAATCTCTAACTTTACTGTTTCTGTATGCGAGCTGCCTTATTATAAAATCTGTTTTTATGTGTTGTTAGGACACAGTCCCGCACTGTGCAGTCCTGCTCTGCTCGCTCCCGCAAAGAATTGTAACCTAATTTTCATTCCCGTTCTCGCCCGCATTTGCGATAAACTTGCAGACGTCTGATCTCTGAAAACATCGCGACACACACAGAACAGACTCACTATCATCATCAACACTGCTCTGTCAAAGAGAGAACATCTATAACCCACTGAGTCCTGTCCTTTAGTAGAAGCTGAACCGCATCAGCACACAAGAGCGTTTTTTTTTTTTCTCTGCTTAGTTTATGTAAATTAGACATGCGGTTTTAAGTTTCGTTTCTGTGAGACTTGTGCAAAGCTGAATTAAACACATTATAATGTCAAACAGGCTGATGTGGCTCTAGATTAAGTGATGGTTTATATGCTGTAAAGTTGAGTTTATTTATGCAGATTAGTAATAGTAATAATGATGATACTTATACAAAAACGTTAATGATAGTATGAAAATAATGTAATAATGAATTCAAATGAAAATACCTCAAGTTGAAGGCTTTTCTCAGCAATTTTTAGGTGAGATTAAAAAGGAAATTAATTAGATTAATTCATTAATTACATATCATAATTAATTAATCTCTCAAATTTTTTTAATCGCTTGACAGCACTAATATTCATTAAACAACATTAAGTAGTGTCATTTATTTATGTGTGGCCAACAAATACTGTATATGTATTGGATGAGCTTGGCCCTTTTGTACGGCATAATAATCGTAAAAATTGAACTTCAAAAGTGTTACGATGTTACTGAGAAAGTAAATCTAACCTGCTATATGTCTTTAAAAGAGATAAAAGAAATGGGTCAAACACAATAGCGGCTTTATTGGTTACACGATTAAAATAAACGTTGTATATTCAAATGTACACACCCGGCCCACATGCTACAGAGACAGTGCAGGTGTGCGGTACATACACACACACACACACACACACATACGCTCGCAGTTGAGAGGGGGGCTGTGCAGTGCCCCTCGTCCCAGGAGCCTCTTCACATGAGCGGACAGATGTTTGTGTCTGTCCCATGTCACAGGTCAGGTCCCCTTCCGCTCCTTCTCCTCTTCTCCTCTTTCACCAACAGCTGTCCTTCTGATACCTGCACCCCCAAACCCAGCCACCAGGGGCAGCAGAGACGAAGCAGGTCACCTTACAGATAAATAGGGTGACATCTGGCGAACACTGGTGTTAATTTGACTGAAGGATATTTGAAAATTAGAAAGGAAAAGTGTTAAAGGGCCCATATTATGCTATTTTCTGATCTGTGTTATAATGTACATTCATCACAAACATACCTGGAGTTGTGTTTTGTTTTATTCACACATGTTTAACACACAAATGCTGCATATTTAGGCGGGGTTCTTCTCTCAAACTGAAAACACACTATTCCACCTTGTGATGTCATGTGTTCATACAGGAAGTGCTCCACTGTGTTTTTAAACTCCACACACTTTCACTAGAATCATTTGGATAATTTCAGCCCTGGAATTGCCAATCTCTACTGAACTAAAGGTGAATAAAGGTTGCTGTTAACTTGGAAAAACTACAGCTTCATGACATCACAAGGAGGAGAAAGCATTTTGCAACAGACTAATAATAAAATGTTACTTCACACATGTTACTCAAATGTGTGAATGAAACCAAACACAACTCCAGGTATGTTTTTGAATGAACAGCATTATAACAGTTGACATTGTGCTCAGATGTGTTAAGTATTGTGATTTACAGTCATATACACACTTTTTTTTTCTTTTTTTTTTACTCTAAATTGTATATTAACAACAGTATTTCTTCAACAAATAAACAAGTTGCTTTCATGAATATACTTGCATATACTTTTACCTCTTTATTTTTAGCCAAATATTGTTTCAGTAAATATGACCGCTTGCTCTGGTGGGAAGTCAGAAGGATCATGTTTTAGTTCAGCCGTTAAATTTTTTAAAGTCTACTCATTTTAAGCACGAAAGGTCTGTGCATCTGAAAGAACCCGACCGTGGCCTTGAGTTGTGGATCGATGATGTACATTTACAAAAACACTGAATCCTCTTCCCATATGGGTCTGTGTCTGTGGTTTTATAGATTTTCTTTAGGACAGCTTCTCGGGACGGGCTCAAATCCCCCTTTGATCTGGGGTTGAGGGGTGGGAGGTGACATGTGAACGGGGGTCTTGTCTGTCTCACCCTGGGTTGGTTCATAACATAAGTGTATATATAAATGGGCTGTCACGTTCCAAATAGGAAGTGTTCATGGCTCCTTTGTTTCCAATTGACTTTACATTGGAAAATTGTCACACCTCGTTCTGTAACTGCTGCAGTGAGCCTCGTCATTTTTGGTTAAAATGTCTGTATTAACCCGTTCCACGCGATCCTGGTGTTTTTATTTCACTATTTTGTCCATAAATAAATTTCGTCTTCTTCCAAATTCACTCCTATAACTTCTAGACTTGTGAGCTTCATTTGACTGGAGCCGAACGTTATGGGCGACTCCCTTAGTCTACTTCTTTATACAGTGTGTAGTTTATAAGCTCAGTGCATGCTGGTATTGGATTTGGCTGTCATGCTTCCCCATGTCTTCGAGAGCTAGGGGCTGTACTGTGGAGTATTATGTTCTAATTCTGTAATGTTGCTTATAGGTTTGTGCATCCACACATTTAACAAGGTTCAAAAGTGTGTTGGGAAAATTCAATGAGAAAAAGCAAAGCATGACATTATAACATAATCTTCTTATAGTGATTGACATTCTATATCCATACTCATCCCCTCTACAACAAGTTCCCATTTTGTCATGATTGATTTCACAACATCCAACTTTTCCCCATGATCCTCTGAGTAAAATCAGTCGCTTCTTAAAGTATAAATCCTGAGTGAAATGTCAACTCTGAAATTGTTTATTTACCTTATGTTAGCTTTGTAATAAGTTTAACAAACTGTTATCTTACTGCACTCCGGAGTGGATTCTTTACTTTATGAGGGGGAAACAAGTTTGAGCTGATGCGGACTTGAGAGGCTTATTACTTTTGCAACATGCTGAGAGAAGGGTGGGGCATGGGGCATGTGAGGGTTTTTTGTTTTTTTCTATTTTTTTGTTGAATATTTAAATTATTTAAAAAAAAAAAAAGTTAGTGGCAAAGAATCTTATAGGCCAGTTATAAAAATAAAACTTAGTCTAATTTTTCCAAAGAATTGTGTTGCAACTGGTTCTGTACATTTGGAGGTCCCTAGATGAGGCTCTAAAACCAGTCTCCCACCTGGAAATATAGGGCTTGTGTGAAAGTAATTGTAGCTCCAGCAGCAGCGGCACATAATGCAGTGATAATGAAGTCGTCCTGCAGCTGTACACTCAAACGAGGCCGCTCCACTTCTCTTTGTGCACTTGGAATTCCCTTTGTTCACCAGAAACTCCTTTTGATTTATTTTACAAAGAAACTTTGGATCCTAATTTTATGTCTGTTTTTGTTGCTCATTTTTCAGGGGCTGCCAACCATCACAGTCAGTCCACTCTGCGGCCTCCTCTCCCACCTCCTCACAACCACCACACCGTGTCCCATCAGTCTGCCAACAGCCTGAACAGAAACACCTTAAGGGGAGGACGCAACCCCATCCACGCCCCTGCCCCAGGCACAGGGGACGGGCCCACCACCCCTGAGTCTGTCCAGCTACAGGACAGCTGGGTCCTAAACAGCAATGTTCCACTAGAGACCAGGTAAGAAACAGGCTCGCTGGAGTATGAGGCTGCCTTTTGTGTATTTAAGCATTACTGCATTCGTACATATAGCTGATACACTATTTGTGAGTAAGTCTACTTTACACAGGATTTTTATAATTTGTAAGTTATAAAGGAAACTTGGAAAGGTGCACTATGCAACTTTTTAGGTAAATGGTACACAACATGCTTGTCTCCATGGAAATATTATTGCTTTGTCTGAAATGCTTCATAGTATGGCTTTTAACTGATCTGTCTTGCATTTATTTATTTATATTTTTCACATTAATAGTTGCATTCTTACTGTGACCAGGCTTGCCTCTCCACAGATCTGACTTGTAATGTGACCTTGTGGCGTCACCTGATTATTTTGATCTTATGGAGATAGATAATCATTCCAGACAACATAATAACATCTCTTTGAGGACAAGGTGACCCTCCACAGGAAATGTTACATGGTGCGCCTTTAAGCCACCTAGAAATAAATGCTATGAGTATGATTAAAGCGCTAATGCTAGTAGGCTAAAGACGGGAGCCATGAAAGCTGTGCTCCGACACTAGCTGTACCACTCAAAAGTGCTGTCTCACAACACACGAGATGTCTCTGCAAAGCCCAGTTTAAAAATGTATGGTGTGACATAGCAAACAGGAGTATGAATTTTACATGGCTCTGCTGCCTTTGGTCACGTCAGAGCCTAAGATTCTCTGTAACCTGAATGGACATTATTTTAAGTGTAGTAAAAGCATGACTCAGGAATTGTTAAGTTACACCCATCCTTGATGAATATACGCTTTGAGTGAGTTTTTATAGTCACCATTATTTTTTAAGAGTTCAAAATGTTATTTCCAGTCTGTTACGCTGCAAGCACCTCCCGGAAGATGGGTAAAAAAATAGGCTCTAAATTTAATGTCATATATTATTTAAAATAATATGGTGGTTAAATGACTATAAAAGCATATTATTAATGTATTTTGCTATTTAATAGGGTAATACTGTATATATATATTGAAGTTGTTTGCTTAACGTTATTCACTGGGAATGTTCTTTGTTGTATATGCATCCTGTTACTTTTTCACTGATACTAATTTATCATGTACTCCGACTATATTTAACTTTTCTGCTGTGGGGTCCGCAACCTACTTGTTTCCATGGAGATGTTATTGCTCCTGGAATGCTCCACAGTATTGAATTCTATATATATATTGCACTTTCTCAATTACATGTTTTTTGCTAAAAAAACTTGGCCTTATTGTGTCACTTGCTTGTCTCCGAGGAGATGGATAAGTTTAAAGCTATCCTGTGGAACGAGCAATAACCTCTACAGGGATAAGCAGAAAAAAATGCATAATGCACAATTCATTCATTTTGCAGTACTTTTACATACCCTGAGCACTACTTCCACCTCAGCAAATGATATACAGTGTGGCTCACAGATAAGAAATAATTCAGCTTGGTTTTGTTTACACTGTGCCATTCGTAGCCGACACTGCCAATTTAATATTTGACACTAACAACCAAAACACTGTCATCCATAGCGAATAACAATGCATTTAGTACTCCGTCATCTGGCAGACCTCAGAGCAGAGCGCCCCACGTGTCGGAGCCCGTTCTCTGTGCAACCTGGAGTGAGAGAGCTGAATACACCGACCATTTCACACAAAGCACACTTACCAGGCGAGAAGAGCATTCAAGCAGGGGCTACTATAACTATTCATGAACCATGCAGAGAGAGCAGGCCCTGTCTGCGTCGTACACATATATCCGATGCCCTGGCATGCTTAGTAGCGTACTTGGAACATTTACCCCTTGCTAGCTGTAGTTGTGTTTCTCCTGCTGGGTGGTGCTGGGCTGTAGCGCTCCGATGGGCCCCAGAAAGGATCCCTTGAGCGCGGGCTCCTTTGCACTATTTATAAAGCCATGTTTAATTCAGGGCCTCTCCTCAACCTGTACCCATGCTCTGGTCCTCGTCATATGCGTGATGGAGGAGAAGAAGAAGAAGCAGGGCTGCAGAGTGTGAAACAAGGAACACGACATGTATAAATATAGCAGCTATTTGCAGTTTCAATTGTTTATAAAGACCTGTGTTGCCATGGTTATTTTTTACAGAGTAGTGGAGTAAGAAGAAAGGAGACATGCTAAAAATTCTGGGAAATGTTGGTTCCATGTACAATCATACAAAATGAAATTACAAAAATAAGCTTGCTTTTGTAAATGTGCATAATGTTGATATTGGCCCTTTTTATATGAATAAGCAATAAAAAGAAGTGACATTATGTTTTAAATTATGAATTATTAGAAATTGTGTTTCAACAGAGGCAGTTAAAGTTAATTTCATCTCAATTATTATAGTTGGTACAATGTCTAATACGTTTCTGTGCCTTCAGCCTCAGTATAGCTCAAATACAGCTTGTATCTGACAGTATGGGCTCCAGGGAGGGCATCTGGCATAAACCACTCTTATAAATTACTGCACTCTGGAAATCGTCCCCTCTGGAAATCGTTTGACTCTATCTGCGTAGATAGATATATATAGATTGATGGATAAATTTCTGAGACATGCATGGACGACATCTAAAACATCTTCAGGCATGTTTCTGATGAGAGAACATTATAACATGTTAGAAAGCTAAAAATGATTTTAACTATAAAGATGCGTTATATAACTTGTCTGGTGGAGACTCTGTCATCTGCTTGTCCTTAAATGTTCCATAGTATGACATTAAACTGTTCCACCTTACATTTATTAATTTACAGGTTGTTTTATAGCTCAAAAATATCTAGAAAAACAGGCATTCTGACTGTGTGCGGGGTTGCCTCTCCACAGATCTGACCTGCAACTAGGTGAGGAATCAGAATGCACTAGAAGAACCCCAGAAGTGTGAGTCCGGGCACCAGCCAATCAGCAAAGAGAAATACATTTTGTTTTAGCAACGATTCCCGAGATCGCGGATTTAAAGCCAGAGCAAAGAGAATGTTTAATTTTATCAAGGGGAAAGACGTTATTGTCCTTCTTTCTATGGGATTTGGGAAAAGCTTAATATGCCAGTTAGTCCCATTAGCGGCGCATTACATATGACCAAATAGCAGCTATTGGTTAAATCAAAAATAGGACCCACCTACTGTTGAGCAAACAAATCCCAATGCTGCGAGGTCAGACAGTTTCCACGAAGTGAAACCGGCTGATGAATCAGGCTAGGTTTGGTCTCCATGAAGAAAAGTTTAATACCATACTGTGAAACATCCCAGACAAAACAATAACATAGCCATGGAGAAAAGCATTTGATGGAACCTCCACCAGAAAAATAATACAATGTACCTTTAAGTTCTGACAAAAGAGCACAGTGGGTTTTTGCTCACATAAACCTACCAAACCCCACATCTTGATAAAAGTGTACAGAAAGTATTCAAGAACAAGAATATATGACTAAGTCAGCTTAGACAAAAACATCAGCTTGAACCTTATAACTCTAAGGGGTTGAAACATTGAGACATTTTAGTACACAACATTCTCCTTTTTCAAAATAGAAACACTCAGTTTTTAGGTAACTTGCCACATCATCCAGCTTTAATATTGAACGCAGTGCTTGTAGAGACATTGGGGAGATGAGTTGTCTAAACAGTGCCTCACTCCTTTTCTTTTTATAATCGTATCAATGCTCTTTTTATTTCATTAAGCCTGACTGCTTTCTTCATTGCTGCAGATGAAGACACACGCACGGTCTCTGCTGAAACGCTATCTCTCTCGCCAATATTTGGTCATGTTCAGGTGGTGGGGTTGGGCATGGCTCTGCGCCTGTCACAAAAGAACGGCGCCCAGAGCAGCGAGAACATCGACCATCCAGCTCCACCCTCTACAGCCCAGATTGAGGCCTCTTCTCTGGGATAGCTCGATGGCGGAGGCTGGGTGGGCTGGCTGGAGCTGCTGGAGCCTGTGAGCGGGTATAGAGCCAAGCACGCGCAGCCAGGGAGAGTCACACCATCCCCGATGCTGGCACGGTCTGTCCTCCATCTCATTAAAACTCACAGCTAAGCGATGATGAGCCCACGTGTGTACTGCGAACGAGAAACGATTACAGCCGTGATGCTTTCTGCTGTCTTTTTTTTTTTTTTTTTTTTTCGTTGACTGCAACCGCTCCCTAATGTAATCATATGTAAATCTTGGCATTTGACGTTCCACTTGTTACGTTCTGCTAAATGTGAGCGTGTCTATGTGGATGGGTGGGGCGTGCATTTGGATTTTTTTTGTTTTTTTGACCCTGCTGTGACAACAACACGCGGATGAAGATTGATCACCTAAGAACACCCCAGGGCCGGGATGACTGGCAGGGTAACAGACAGGATGAGGGAGGGGAGCGAGGGAGGAGGGGGTATAAAAGAGAAGAAGGGAATGGTTTACGGCGCAGGATGGGCAGATGAATGCAGAGAGAGAGTGATAGATGGAGATTGTTTTGGGGAGTGGGTGGGAGACAGGAGATTCAGGGGAGAGGCATGAGATTGGGGACTGTCCAACATGGATACATTTACCAGTGGGAGGATTTGTTCTTAGTAAGAGCTGCTTCACAAGTATCCAGGCTGGTTGGTTACACAAGGGTCAACAATGTGGTCTGGGAAAAGTACATCTTGTTGGTAACTTGTAATATTTTAAGGGCACATTCTTAGACGGAAATATAGAATTTATTTTGTAACTTCTAAGGTGAAGGGTCCGCTACTTGTTTCTGTCCATGGAGATGTTATTTTTGTGCATCGATTATTCCACAATGAGGCATTAAACGCACGTGCCTTGCATGTATTCATTTACAGAGGTTATAGCTCAAAAATATATTGAAAAACAGGAAATCTTACCACATATAGTCTTGCTTCTCCGTCCAACTATTAACTTGTCTCCATTGTAATGACCAAGTTTATTTCCATACCGTAATGGAATAAACAAGGTGAAACGGTAATAGCTTAAATATTTGGTGAAGGGGCTGCCACCTGCTAGCCAGGCTGGCACCACCTA